AAAACCCTTTACAAGCATTCTCAGCCAGTAGTCATTTTGTTTGCTATTTTCACTTCTTGCCTTATCTCCAAGTCCTCGAAGATTTCGTTCCAATGGGTATGGTTTTGATTCTGCCTTTCCTTTTACTTCCTGAAGTAGTTTCTACTTCTGACTTCGCCTTTTTTGTTAACTTTTCTGATTCTTCTTTCATTTGGTTGTGGATTCTGCCTCTGCGTTGATTTGCAGCCAAGATCAAGATTGGAATCAACGGTACTGCATCTGACTTGCCCTTTTTGTTTGAAGAGCTTTGAATACACTAGATCTGACTAGTCTTATAATGTTTATTGTTATGGAAATGAAAAACCAGGATTCGGAAGGATTGGGAGGTTGGTAGCTAGGGTTGCTCTTCAGAGAAATGATGTTGAACTTGTTGCTGTTAATGATCCTTTTATCACCACTGATTACATGGTATTGTTACTCTTTACAGTTAATTTGTTTGTTCTTACAAACAATTGCTCGCCCTTTTTGTGATTTTGCTGGATTTTGAATGGTCTTTTGTTTCTTTGTTTGGTGGAGTAGACCTACATGTTCAAGTATGACAGTGTTCATGGCCAATGGAAGCATCAAGATGTGAAGGTCAAGGATTCTAATACCCTTCTCTTTGGTGAGCAGGCTGTTAAAGTTTTTGGCCTCAGGTATCAAATTAGCACAGTTTGTCTACTTCCCTAGTCCTGATCTGTTAGGAAGTTTGGGAGTTTCCTTTGAACAAATGATTGAATGTTGAATATAATGTAACTTTAGGAATCCTGAGGAGATCCCATGGGCTGAGGCCGGAGCTGATTATATTGTAGAGTCCACTGGGGTTTTCACAGACAAAGACAAGGCTGCTGCCCATTTGAAGGTTGTTTTCTGTTTCTGCATGTGGGATTTTAATAAATTTCTCCTAATATTATATTATTGAGTTAGCTTGAAAAATATGGTTCTTTAATGGTTTATATTTTGAACTTCACGTTTTAGGCTTTAAATTTTGTCAAAAACTAGTTCTTATAATTAATTTTTTTAATCACTCGACAAGAATCTAAATCTATGTGAATACTCCCTAGTCCTAGCTTACTATTTTTGGCTTCAAACTTCTGTTTAGGAATATATTTTGAACTTCATGCTTATTCTTTTCTTATGTTCATTCATTAGTTAATTTTCTACTCTTCATGGCATCCATCAGTAGTCAAACTGTTTTACTCGAACGTATACGACTTTGGCATTCATTTGAGCTAATCTTTGATAATTTGATGCAGGGTGGTGCAAAGAAGGTAATCATCTCAGCTCCCAGCAAGGATGCTCCCATGTTTGTTGTTGGAGTCAATGAGAAGGAATACACATCAGATCTTAAGGTTATATCTAATGCTAGCTGCACTACCAACTGTCTTGCTCCTCTTGCAAAGGTTACTTTCCACTTCCGCGACCACAACTTATCGATAAATTGTTCGACTTTCTTAATATTCTTGGCTATGGGGTTGATCATCTGAATGTTTAAACTCAAAATATTTGCAGGTCATTAATGATAGATTTGGCATTGTTGAGGGCCTGATGACCACTGTTCACTCTATGACTGGTGGGTCTTCCATCATTGGCAATTATAGTTATAGTCCTTATTGGTTATTATATAAGAAGTTTAGCTGTTTTTAGAAGCTTGGTAAAACTGATCATAATTTATGAAGAAAATCACCTTTCAATTATGTTTGTTTTTATGAGTTGATTTTTTTAGAAGCACTTTTGATCTTAAAAGCTATAGCTAAGAGGGATTTGTTTGGTGTACTCATTTTGGTTGCTTTCATTTAACTTCTTGTTTATAGCCACCCAAAAGACTGTCGATGGACCATCTAGCAAGGACTGGAGAGGTGGAAGAGCTGCTTCATTCAACATCATCCCTAGCAGTACTGGAGCTGCTAAGGTATTAATGATTGATGAGTTCTACTGCTGATATTCTTGATATTCTTTCCTAGTATGTCTAAAGTTCTGTTCCAATCTCTGTGTTCGTGTAGGCTGTCGGCAAAGTCCTGCCTGCATTGAACGGAAAATTGACTGGAATGGCTTTCCGTGTTCCTACCGTTGATGTCTCGGTCGTTGACCTTACTGTAAGGCTGGAGAAGGCAGCATCCTATGAAGATATTAAGGCAGCCATCAAGTAAGGATACAGTTGTTTACTTCATCCAAAATGAAACTATTAGTTTATCACGGGGCAGCCGATTTTCGGGTTTTTTTTTACGTAGTTATCACCATTTATTTTTTTTGGTTTTGAGAGAAGTATTATCTTTTGATTCGTTCTCTTTGTTATGTTACTAGGGAGGAGTCTGAGGGAAAGTTGAAAGGAATTTTGGGTTACACCGAAGATGAGGTGGTGTCCACTGATTTTGTGGGTGACAACAGGTATGGTTTCTCGTGGTTTTGCATACGAATACTTATACGAATTTGAAGTATTTTGGAGTTTTAATAAGAATAAAGTTCTAATACTTAAATCGTCCAAGTCACCGCCAGTAGCCAGTAGATATTGTCCGCTTTAGCCTTTTACGCATTGTCGTCAATCTCACAATTTTAAAATACGTCTGTTAGGGAGACGTTTTCACACCCTTATAAGAAATATTTTGTTCCCCTCTCCAGCCGATGTGGAATCTCACAATCTACTCCCTTCGAGAGCCAAACGTTCTCTTTGGTACACTGTCTCTCACGGTTTTAAAATACGTCTGCTAGGGAGAGGTTTCCATACCCTTGTAAGAAATTTTTTATTCCCCTCTCCAAACCGACGTGGAATCTCATAATTCACTCCCTTTGGGAGCTAAATGTCCTTTCTGACACACTGCCCAGTTCTTGGCTCTGATACACCGCCCGATGTATGACACGGGTTGGAGTAGGGCCATAACTTCTCCATAGTAGACGGGTTTTAAAACCGTGAGGCTGACGACGATATGTAACAAGCCAAAGCGGACAATATTTGTTAGCTGTGAGTCGGACAGTTACAAATACATTTCTTGTGCTTCTCCACTTTTATGTTTGGATCGATGTACTTTATTTTCCCTCTTTATATTTAGATGCGAACTTAGATTCCATAAAAATTGATTTTGAATAATTAAATTCATTCCATAGAGTGAGTGATTTAGAGTGGATACAAGTGGTTGGCCATTTCAAAATCACTTCCATCTTAAAGAGACAAGTTTTGTTAAAAGAACGAGAGAGAAGTTTTGTTAAAAAGACTGAAAAACCTAATAGAATAGAATCTCTAAGACGTGAATCTGCCCAACTCGTCTTCTTCCTGAACCTACACCTTTACAGAATCTAATTCAACATTCTCATTCTCCGGGGAACAGTGAAAGAATGAATTGATTGAAGAACCTTTACTTAACTTCTCCTCCCTAACTACTCAAATGAAAGATTAATGAGTTGCTCTGCGCCCATCCAGGTCAAGTATTTTCGATGCTAAGGCCGGGATTGCACTGAACGATCACTTTGTGAAGCTCGTCACGTGGTACGACAACGAGTTAGGCTACAGGTAAAACACAAAGCTTTTCCATATCTTTATCATTCCTGATATGGATCATTTCTCTGAATCCATCGATCGTTGTTTTGTTTGCAGTACTCGTGTTATCGACCTGATTTCTCACGTTGCATCTGTCAATTAAGAGAAGGATGCCTTCATCAAGCTTTGTTTTTCAGCAGTTCTTGAGGCCTCCATCTATGAGTGAATTGAGAAATAAAAACGTTTTCAACTTCTTCCATTTAAAAAAAAAAAGCTCTTTTGCTTTGACACGTGACTTCAATTTTCACCTAATGTTCTTCCTCAGTGAAGATATCTATGTTTTCTGTGATGTTTCCCATGGACTTATTCGTAATTTCAAGTTAATGGATTTTGGGTGTTAGATTCTTATTCTTACCTCCTCAATTATATATTTTTTAAGGAATTATTATTGTTAGATGAACACGACTCTCTACAATGATATAATATTGTTCACTTTGAGCATAAGTTCCCGTGATTTTGTTTTGGACTTTTCAAAAAGCCTCATACGAATGGGAGAGAGTTCTTGGATTATAAATCCATGATTATTCCATAAATTAGTTGAGGATTTACTTTATGTTCGACATTTGAGGATTTACTAACCTATTGGCATGACAAAGTTTAGGGCATGACTCTAATACTATGTTAGATGAACACGACTCTCCACAACGGTATGATATTATTCACTCTGAGTATAAGTTCTCCTATCTTGGCTTTGGGCTTTCCAAAAGGCTTCATGACAATGGAGTTTATTATAAACTCATGATCATTCTCTAAATTAGCCGACGTGTGACTTTCGTCATCCAACAATTATGATTTAGATACTTTTATAGAACGATAAATTCTTGAATAATTTAGATATAGTTTTAATTAAGTTTTATATTACATTATTGGCTTAAATTAATGTTAGGTTCAAATTCTAGGTTAAATTAAAATTAAATTTTTAATTGGAACTTTATGAACTAAAATGTAAAAATTTATCTAGAAACTCGATTTGTTGTACTAATTTTTACTTAAAATTTTTAATTTTATCCAATTAAAATTCAATAACTATTACTGTCTTTATTTTAAACTTGAATAAATGGGCCATTTTTATATTCTAATACATTTGTTAATAATAAAAAGAAAAAAAAAAACTTTTAATTGTTTTTTAAAAGTTTAAAATATGTGAATTTCAAACCAAAAAAAACGACTAATTTTCTTTAAATTGTTTTTTTAATTGATATTTGTAAATTTTTAACGTTTTTATATATTCAAGAATTGATTACTTTGACAGCAAATTCATTTTTCATTTTAAATTAATTTATAAATTACCAAAATTAGTAAATTGCAACGTCTACGAAATTTTGGGTGAAATATGTAAATATATATATTCTGTATTTATTAAATTCACGCGCTAGCGTCCACCATAACACGACGGTATAACACAGTTACCACATTCAAATTTCATATTGTTTTCGATCTCTCCGCCAAATCACGTTTCGTTACTCTTCTCTCTCTCTCTCTCTCTGTTTAAAATGTGGAGTTTCAATTTTCAAAATCTTCACCTGTTTCTTTGATTTTGATCTCAAATGGCGTCGTCTGCTTTCAAATCGACGACGAAACGGACGCCGATTGGAGCGTCGGTTGCTTCAAACAATGACTCCGTTTCCACCAATCGGAGTTCGATTCACCGCCGTTCTCGAAGTCTGAGCCGGTTTTCTCACCCTCTGCCGTCGTCTCCCGTCGATAAGGGCTTCGGTGAGGGTTCAGCTCGGCGAGGTAGGTTTGTCAACACGTCGAGAGGCTCGGAGTTTCCTGAGATCAGTCTCGATGACTTAGCGGTTGAATTCTTTGGTTCTGGTGATCGAGGGCGCTCCGCTGCGCGGAGCTCCGAGTCGAGTAGTGCTAAGAGCGCCGTCGCATCTTCGCTTAGACGAGGAAGGTCGGTGTCGAGACACGGTAGCGCAAAAACTAGCGGCGGTGGTAGCGATGGTAAAGGAAAAGCCGATTATAGCGTAGGTGGGGGAAAACTGGTTCCTGAAAGTAATTCGAGAAGAAGACGCTCTGTCTCTGTAGTTCGCTACCAGATTAGCGATTCGGAGGTGAATTTTATCCCATTTCTTCGATTTAGTTCTACTTTGAATATTTCCTGCTTAGCTATTGCATCCATATGAATTCAATTTTGAAGATCGGAAGAAGAGTTGAATTTTTGTTCCTATAGAAGCTTAAGATACGACGGTTCCTAAATAATTATTAGTGTTTTCTGAATGGAAAAGGGGAAAAGTGTCCTATGTGCTACTGTGAATGCTTGAGTTCTTATAATTGTATAGAAATGGTAAGCTTATAACTACATGCGGTACCGTTATATTTCTGCACCTATATCTGTGTGAGTTTGCCTTTTGTAGAATTAGTGATTTAACAATAGCTTGAGAACCAGCATTTTCTGCTCAAGCTTCTTTATGATGTTATAAATTCCCTATTTCCATGTGAATTTGAATAGGTGCTAGTGCAATTATCTTTTTATGAAAGCAAACTTCATATTTTAATGGATATAGTGGGAAATTGACTCAGTTTTACTTACCCCATGAACGCAGAGTGATCTTGATCAATCTCAGGATTCTGGAACTCGTATGAGAGAAAAGAGCTACGGTAATGGAAATAAGCAGAAGCCACTATCCCATAAGGCTGATAATTCAAATCGTAGGCCTATGCTTCGAAGATCTCTTAGCCAGAATGATTTTAAGTGCCATGATGGCTATTCAGTAAGCTCTTCCCCCTTTTAATCACTGTCTATTGCATTCACTCGTGGTATGAGATGGGGAGGAGGTTTGCATTATGTGCTTTCCACCCTTTTTATGATCACTTTCTATTACAGAGCCAGTCTTCAGTTCTAACAGATGACGAAGGAAAGGATGCTTACTTCCGTAATAATGTAACGGAGAAGACTATTCGAACAATTTGTGCAAGAAAGGTCCATTATGCTGTGTAATATATGAAAGTTATACACAAATTTTGAATGTTCCATCCATTACATATCTGGGTTTACTTCACATCTTTCAGGCAAAGCAGCTCAATGGGGATGTTGTTGATAATGGCTTGTATGAAGCAATGCGGAAAGAACTTAGACATGCTGTTGAAGAGATAAGAGTGGAACTTGAGCAGGTGTGAGATCCTTTTATTCTGAACTAAGTTATCCTAATTGTTTATCTAGACTTCATCTCAATTCCTTCCAAATAATGTAGGAAATGGTGAATAGAAATTCGTCTGTTGGAACTCTCAGTGATGACTTGCATTCAAGTGATTCCGGTGTTCAGCGTACTTCTCCATTTAAAAGAAATTATTCTACAAAACAAGAACAGGTAAGAATGCATGTTTGTTTTCTTCCATCTTGATGTTTTCTATAATTAAACCAATATCTGACCTACCTCTGACACTGTGAGATCCCACATCGGTTGGGAAGGAGAACAAAGCATTCTTTATAAGGGTGTGTAAACCTTTCCCTAGCAGACACATTTTAAAAACCTCGAGGGAAAACCCGAAAGGGAAACCCCAAAGAGGACAATATCGATTAGCGGTGGGCTTCAGACGTTACAAATGGCTTCAGAGCTAAACACCGGGCGATATTCCAGCGTGGAGGCTAAGCCCTCAAGGGGGTGGACATGAGACGATGTGCCAGCAGGGATGTCGGGCTCTGAAAGGGGGTGGATTGGGGGGTCCCACATCGATTGGAGAAGGGAATGAGTGCTAGCGAGGACGCTGGGATCCGAAGGGGGGTGGATTGTGATATCCCACATCGGTTGGGGAGGAGAATTGGGGAGGAGAATGAAGCATTTTTTACAAGGGTGTGGAAACCTCTCCCTAGGAGACGAATTGTGAGATCTCACATTGGTTGGGGGAGGAAAACAAAACATTATTTATAAGGGTGTGGAAACTTCTCCCTAGCAGATGCGTTTTAAAAATCCTGAGGGGAAGCTCGAAAGAGAGTCCAAAGAGGACAGTATCTGCTTGTGGTGGGCTTGGGTCGTTACAGACATCGTCTTGAATTTCTATTGCAAGTTATGGGTGTTCATGTTCCATTTAGTTTCTCTTCCACTCATTATTCATTATCTTTTCTTCTCTGGCATTGTATTATAAGATCTGCTATCAATTAAGTGTTTCATTACATGTTCTGGTGGTGACTAATTACCTCTATACGCAATGACAGTCAGATAAGCGCAGAGATTCATTGGCCAAGATGGTGCTGCAGGAGCAACGTGCTCAAGAACTTCCAAAGACGGTTAAAAATTCGTCTCCTGATCTGACGAACGTTGTTGCCGAGAACTCCTCGCGAATCAGAAAGGTGATTGATTCTTGATTTCACTTTAACAAAATGCAGATCCAAGATAGGTTAAATGATTGTTCTAATCTAAGAACACAAACATTCTGAACTCAGTTTTTTTATCATAGGCAATTTCTTTGACAAATATTCAACACATCTAACAACATACAACCTCCTGAAATGAATTAGAATCTCTCTTATGTGTAATGTTGATGATCATTTCTGTTTCCGTCTTTCAGAGGAGCAACGATCGAAGTAGGATGTCGAAAAGATTGACTGAGGAAGCAGAAAAATACATTGAGGACTTCATTTCCAATGTTGAAGATACAGATATTTCATCCCTTGATGGCGACAGGAGCGACACCAGTTCATCTTTAGGAGGAAAAACAAAACCAAATTTCGAAATTCCAGCACCCAGCAAAACTGTTCCTCCTGGCATGGATGGTGTCCTACTTCCATGGCTGCAATGGGAAACCAGTAACGACGCTACTCCTTACCCTCGAAAGAACACAATCCGACCAGCCTTGACTCCACAAAGGTTTCCATGGGATGTAAATCAGGTGAGATCTATGTCTTGAGTAATCTCGGAGTTTACGTTAAATTCCAATAGGTTCTTAGCTTCATTAATTGTCTAATACATCTCGGATTAGATACCTTTTTAAGTTCAGGGATCCATTAGACACTAACATGCAAACCGTTTCCTTTTTCACAAAACCCCCGACAAAGTTAGGAGTATAATTCTCGAGATTCTTGATCTCTGACCTTTAGGAGTTGGAATATTTGTTTTTAGGAAGCAAGCAATGCCCAAGATCTATATAACCATTCTGGTAGCAGCCAAGGGAGTTGGAGCCCTGGAGTTGCCCCTAACCTTTCTGGGAAAGTTGAAGATCTGGGAAGTAGATTCAAGAAAACTGGTGAGTATCAGAACCAGTCCTATTTGGAGTCGAGAGAATCTCGGATATCGTTCGATATCGACGAGTATCTAAAGCGTCCGAGCAATGAAGAATTTCTCTTGGAAAGATGGAAGCAGCAACACAAACTCAACTCCGGTGGTCTTTTGCTTTGTAATCATGTATTTTTATAGCTTTTTTTTTTTTTCCTTCTCTTACATTTATACTGTTCTTAGCCTCTCCCTCTGTTCATCTCTCTCTCTTCAGTATTTATTGGTCCTAAATTAGGAAGGGCTCACCATAAGTAGAATTGTATAAACTCCTAAGAGAAGAAATTTAGGGTTTATGTAATTGGCTGTTTTAGTCGTATTCTAAGAGTATTCTAAGAGCATTCTAAGCGGATTCTAAGCGTGCGGATTCTAAGCTGTTACAATTGGGTTTGGGTTTTTCGTCATTAGATATAGAAGAGATTATAAACGTATCTTGAATTTATGTTTTTTTGAATTATTTGAATATTAGACCTATATAATATATATTATATGAATATAGTAAAAAAATTAAAATTTAATATTACAAACTTAATTTTTAAAAAAACTAATTTAAATATTTATAAAAAGACTTCCTTTATTAGTCAAAATAAATTATAATGACTTAAATTGTTCATAAATATCTTAATTATAAGTTTAATTAGTTCATTTAATTTATTGTTAAAATATTATTTTAATATGTATAATTTGAAATAGTTTATTTTTTATAAATCTTAAAATTAGTATAGTTTATTTTTTATAAATCTTAAAATTGGTATAGTTAATTATTTTTATTGAAGTTAGTTTAATAATAATAAGAATAATTTTTATGCATGTATTTTCAAAATTATGTATAAAAACTCAAAATAGTTGTTGACTAAAAAAGTTTTTTTTAAATATTAAAAAATATTTTTAAATATTCTATTTTATCAAGATGGATGGAATATTTTTTATAATTTATATTTTTTTAAAAAATAATTAGATAGATAGAATATTTTTATCCTCTCTAACTGATCTCATAATAAAAATATTTTGTTTAGATAAATAGGATATTTTTAAAAAAATAATTAGATAGATAGAATATTTTTTATAATTTATATTTTTTTAAAAATAATTATCGATTCTAATAATTAAATTTAATTAAAAAATTTAAGAAACCCTATTTTTTTTCAACATAAATAATCTCTCTAAACTAAACTAAGAACAACTGAAGAGATAAACTAATGGAGGACAACGAAAGAGATCAGCGGGCACCTGAAACGACTCAGGCGGAGAAGAATCTGAACGATTGGCTTCCGATCACCAAATCTCGTAACGGAAACTGGTGGTACTCCGCCTTTCACAATGTCACCGCCATGGTCGGCGCCGGCGTTCTTGGTCTCCCTTACGCCATGTCGCAGCTCGGATGGTACGTTCTACACCGCCGTCTGTTTCTATTTCTTTTTCTTCACTGTTAGGGTTTCTATTTCAAAAAATTTCATCGGACGAAATCGACGGCGAGAATCGGATTTTGTTCAGGGGACCGGGAGTGGCGGTGATTGTACTGTCGTGGATAATAACGCTGTACACGCTGTGGCAGATGGTGGAGATGCACGAGATGGTGCCGGGGAAGCGGTTCGATCGGTACCATGAGCTAGGGCAGCACGCGTTCGGGGAGCGGGTAGGGCTGTGGGTGGTGGTGCCGCAGCAGCTGATGGTTGAAATAGGGGTGAATATTGTGTACATGATTACGGGCGGCAACTCATTGAAGAAGGTCCATGATTTGGCCTGCCATGGCTGCAGGCCCATTAAGTCCACTTACTTTATAATGATGTTTGCTTCTGTCCATTTCTTTCTCTCGCATCTCCCTAGCTTCAACTCCATCACTCTCGTCTCCCTCGCCGCCGCAGTCATGTCCTTGAGGTACCTTTCTTCATTTCGCTTTTGTTTCCTTATTTTGGGGTTTAGGGTTTCATCTACTTAACCTATTTTAATTATATTTATTATAAGTTTTTTTATTTTATTTATTTTTGTTGAAATCGAAGGAGATTATCCTCTTTTTGTTTGTGAATTTTGAAATTCGAGGTTGATTATCCATTTATTTTATTATAGATTCAGTGAGATTGTCGTAGGGGTCGGGAGATTATCCATTTGTTTTCGTAGGGGTCGGGAGATTATCCATTTGTTTGTCATCAGGGGTCGGGAGATTATCCATTTGTTTGTCGTCAGGGGTCGGGAGATTATCCATTTGTTTGTCGTCAGGGGTCGGGAGATTATCCATTTGTTTGTCGTCAGGGGTCGGGAGATTATCCATTTGTTTGTCGTAGGGGTCGGGAGATTATCCATTTGTTTGTCGTAGGGGTCGGGAGATTATCCATTTGTTTGTCGTAGGGGTCGGGAGATTATCCATTTGTTTGTCGTCAGGGGTCGGGAGATTATCCATTTGTTTTCGTAGGGGTCGGGAGATTATCCATTTGTTTATCGACCAAATTATCCATTTGTTTGTAGAGATGAGTGAGATTGTCGATTTAGGAAATTGTCGGGATACTATAGTGGGGATCGGGGGAATTGTCGGGATACTATAGTGGGGATCGGGGGAATTGTCGGGATACTATAGTGGGGATCGGGGGGAATTGTCGATTTACTTAAGTGGGGATCGGGGGGAATTGTCGATTTACTATAGTGGGGATCGGGGGGAATTGTCGATTTACTATAGTGGGGATCGGGGGGAATTGTCGATTTACTATAGTGGGGATTGGGGGGAATTGTCGATTTACTATAGTGGGGATCGGGGGAATTGTTTTTAATAATATTTAAATACGTAATTTTCATTTAATAATTTTTAAATATATAATTTTTATTTTTCAATATTATTTTTCATTGAACAATGTAAAATATCTTAACAAATTTATTAAGTAAAATATAATAGGAAGTTTAAACATCATGCTAAAAATTTAAATTTCAATCTTGCATATTTTTTCTATATATAATAAAAAAAAAATTATTATTATTTTTTTTTTTCCAGCTACTCAACCATTGCATGGGCAGCATCGTTTCACAAAGGTCCCCTCCCAGACGTGAACTACGGACACAGAGCCTCAACCACAACAGGCAACATCTTCAACTTCTTCTCAGCCTTAGGCGACGTCGCCTTCGCATTCGCAGGCCACAACGTCGTCCTCGAGATTCAAGCCACCATCCCATCCACCCCCGACCGCCCGTCCACCAACCCGATGTGGAAGGGCGTCATAGTCGCATATCTAGTAGTCGCCCTATGCTATTTCCCCGTCGCCCTAGTCGGCTACTGGGTATTCGGCAACTCCGTCCAAGACAACATCCTCATCTCCCTCAACCGCCCCGTATGGCTCATCGTTGTAGCTAACCTCTTCGTTGTCATTCACGTCATCGGCAGCTACCAGATCTTCGCTATGCCTGTTTTCGATATGTTGGAGTCTTTCCTCGTTAAGCAAATGAAATTCAAACCCTCCCGCTGCCTCCGCTTCATCACTCGAACAACTTACGTCGGTACGTACATTACATTACACTGAGCTAACTTGAGCTTAACTCAACTAATTTTGGTCGATGAATTGCTGCAGCTCTTACCATGTTCATAGCCATGACATTCCCCTTCTTCGGTGGGCTTCTAAGTTTCTTTGGAGGCTTTGCATTTGCTCCCACAACATACTACGTAAGCTAAATTACACTTAAATTTCCAAAACCCTCTTGTTTTTATTCAATACTCATCTGTTCTTCATGTGTTCTTGCTTGCAGCTGCCTTGCATCATGTGGCTTGCCATCAAAAAGCCAAGACGCTACAGCCTTTCATGGTTTACAAACTGGGTAACACCTTAATTCCACAACTTTTTAAGATCAAATGAAAAAATCCCATGAAATTTTGATTAGAACTTGTTTGTTTCTGAAATTTCAATCAGATTTGCATCGTTATTGGAGTGTTGTTGATGGTTTTGGCGCCCATTGGAGCACTCAGGAACATCATTCTTCAAGCTAAGACCTTCAAATTTTACTCTTGATTCATTCATTTTAGTTTGTAAATTCCTTTTGGGCAGATTCATTGGTTGTTAGATAGGTGGTAGTTACATTAGTATTAGTTTATGTTTCTATCCATCTGGCATTCTTTTTTTTTTCTATTAAAAGTTAATAAATTATTGTTCTTCATGTCTTGTTTTAATTATGATTAGGAAGTGCCTCTTCCGTTTTGAGTGAGAAAATCTGGGGATTGGAGCCAATGGTAACCTTAACCGATATTATCTATTTTAGCTTATTACTCACGATTTTAATATCTATTTTAGCTTATTACTCACCATTTTAAGATCACTCTATTAGAGAGAGGTTTCTATGTCCTTAGAAAGAATGTTTGAATGTAAATGCGCACTGAAAGCAAAGTAGACTACGAATGACAGTCTTCAATGTTAGGGGGTGAAAGCAAGATTCGAAAGGAAAAAACTTGTGGGTACCCACTGAAAGCACAGTAGACTACGAATGTTAGTCTTCAATGTTAGGAGGTGAAAACAAGATTCAAAAGGAAAGAGCTCGAGGGTGAGAAACCCCATGAAATAGGTTGTCTCTAAAGCCTAATTGAAATAAGGAAGGAAGCGGAGTCAAAAGATTATATGCAAGAGCGGCTAGGAACAGTGTCCTCAAACTTTTTTGATCTCTTCTTGATCTCTACTACAAAACGGTTGCTACACCCTTAAAAAGATTGTTTGAATGAACTTCTCGATCTCTCTAATGTTTGAATGTTTTGTTCTACTCTCCAATCGAGGTAGAATCCCAACAAAATTTCATCATAAATGAGCTATTTATCAATAAGAGCTAATTTAAATAATAAAGAACTTGAAATATTATATTTAAGCTATAGCTTTAGTGGGCCTTAGATACATTAATATTATAAGAATTTTATTGGATTAGAAGGTTATTTTTGTAAGAATGAATGTATAAAATTTTTAATTCTTTTTAAACTTAAAAACTAACGATTGGTACACGTTTTAAAATAAAGAGAGAATAAATATTTTTAATAATTTGCTATAAATATTTTTAATAATTTGCTATTTATTTTTTATCCAACTTAGTGGGGACCACACAATTTCCTTTAAAATTAAAAAAAAAAATCTTTCTATTAAATGTTATTTCAAGGAATAATTTTATAGGTTTGAAAATTATTTTATTTAGTTGAAAAGTTCACTAAAAAATTATTTAATTGAGTTTTTAGTAAAAGAAGAATATTGAAGAGAAATTAAAAATTAAATAGAAAATCAGAAAAAACGTCATCCTGAAAATATTTACACAAAAAAAAAGAAAAAGAAAATGACGTCATCCTAAAATAAAACCCTCAATATTCACATTTTTTCTCTCTAATCTCCCAATCAAAATCTGCCAAATCCCAACCTTCCACCGCCGCATCACCGCCCAAAGCTGAGACTCAGCGCCGCCTTCACGTCCAGCCTCCAAGCAAACCCACCGCCGTCCATCCTCCACGCATCACACGGCGCCGTCAACGACCTCCTATCTTTCCCCCATCTACTCCGGTACTGAACCTTCACTCTGCAAGTGAAAGCCGGCCACCACTCCTCCGCCGTCTCCTCCTCTTTCATCTCCAGCCGAACCCTCACCGCCTCCTCCTCCACCTCCGCCGTACCCCCCACCATCTCCCTATACGCCTTATTCGTCCACGTCACCTTCCCTTCACCGTCCGATATAAACCCTGGACACGTGTCCTCCTCCAGATTCCTCCTCCTCTCCTCATCCGTACTCCCTAACTCCACCCCTTCCCCCCACGCTATCTCCGCCACGCGCTCCACCGTCACCAAAGACGCTACCATCCTCACCGCCTGCGGCACCGCCACCACCGCCGCCGCCGCCGCCCGATCCTCTCCAGTCTTAACCCCCTCAAAACTCAACCAAACCGGCGCGTTTCTCCCTTCAGGCATCTCCGGCAAAAGCGGCAACGTCACCGCCGAACACAAAACGCCGCCGTCCTTCGCCACACCCTTCTTTCTCCGATTACCAAACCGCTTATTTCCACCGCACTTCCTCTTCCCTCTACCAGTGGACCCAGAAACCTCAGATTTCTCCGGCGTGGAACCGGCAGACCCAGATCCGGAAGAAACCGCCGGCTTCGGCGCAATGGGTCGGAATCTAAGCATGATTTTGTCGACCTTCGACATGTCGTACGGTGGGCCGACATAGCGGGCGATGCAGCAGCCTCCTCTTCCGTTACCGTCCATCAAGAAACAAACGAACGGAGGAGATTGAACGTTGAATTTGAAGCAAAATTTGGGGTAAAAGTGAGGAGAAAGAAAAGGGGAGGAAGGGAGGCTTTATAGGAAGGAGCCATTGGGACACGTAGTGGTGAGGCCACGTTGAAGTGCACAGGTTCGAACACCACACGTCGCGTTTCGGTGGAAATACTACAAACGTGGCGTTGGCGTTCCCTTTTTTGTCATAATCGTGGGGCCCACTCGACTTGTGCGAGCCACGTATGCGCTCTTGCTCCGACCGTAATAATCTCTGTTTCCATTTTTGTTTATTTTCTTTCTTTTTTTTCTTTTCTTTTTTTAATTTATTTTTCTAATCTTAAAAAATGTAGCTAATTATATATTTTTTTTTAATTTCTCTCTAATTTATAATTCTATTATATTTAATTCCTTCTTTTTTTCTTTTTTGCTTTATTTTTTAAATTAATGTGTCTAATTTTGGTGATATTAAAAATATATCTTTGGCGTATTAACATTTTTATAATTCAATTAATTAAGATTTTTTTTTGAAGCAAAAATAAAAAAATTATAAACCTAAAATTTATATGAAGATTGTAACGGCCCAAATCCACTGCTAGCAAATATTATTTTCTTTAGGCTTTCCTTCCCCCTCGAGGCTTTGAAACGCGTCTGCTAGGAGAAGAGTTTCACACCCTTATACCCTTATGAATGGTGGTTTGTTCTCCTCCCCAACCAATGTGGGATATCACAATCCACTCCCTTCGGGGTCCAACGTTCTCGCTGGCACTCTTTCCTTCCTCCAATCGATGTGGGACTGCCCCCAAATCCACCCCCTTTAGGGCCCAACGTCTTTACTGGCACACTGCCTCGTGTCTACCCCCCTTCGAGAACAGCTAGAAGGCTGACACATCGTGTCTGGTTCTAATACCAACTGTAACGGCCCAAATTCACGCTAGCAGATATTGTCCTCTTTGGGCTAACGGTGGATCTGGGCCATTACAAAGATATTCAAATAATGATTCTTTTTTTTTTTTTAATTTTAAGAATATTTTTTCAATTTATTTATTTTTTAAAGATTAAGAATATATTTTATAGTAAATATTTTTATTAAAAAAATGTAGGCGTAGATTTGCCTACCAACATAAGAATTAATAAGCTACAAAAATAATTATAATTAATTTAGTTAATAATTGATCTCAAAAATCGAGGGGATGACGTGTATCTTTTGGGAAGGTAAGTTAGGTTAACACGTGGCCCAATAAGAAGCGGATAGAAACGAGGCCCAAGAGATTAGAGATATCCAAAAATAACAACCAATTAGATTCTGCCAAATGGACGGTCAGATGGCACTCTCTCATCTACTTTGATGTGATGGCCTCAGATTGATTGGTTCTCAGAAAATAAAAGGTTTTTTAAAATAATTAAAAACCACTCCAGCGAATTGTCCAAAATACCCCTTATTTTACCTTGCCAAAATAAATATCTTTTTTGCTTTAGCTCAATTCCTATACATTATCAATTTTTAACTTAAATGGGTAAAAATCTTTAAAATTAAAATTTACTTCTTTTGGTATGTGATTTTCTTTGGCTAAATTACACCAAAATATCACGGGAACTTGGAGGAGAACATGGAGAAGAAGCATAACGGAAAATTGGAGGGACGGGAAATATAATCCCGACCTCAGCCCCATAGATGTCCACAGGGCGAGGCGGGAATGAAGAAGAAGCATAACGGGAAATTGGGGGAACGGGGAATATAATCCCGACCCCAACCCCATTTATTTAATAGGAAAAAATGTTCCCCACTACCTCTCCTATTACCCGTCTAAACGAAATCTCCTTTCCCTTCAAGGCCTCAACCCCGTGAGTCAAGTATCTCCGATGGGTATTATTGAATTGAAACGTTAGTATTTTCTATTCAAAAACTTAATTGAATAAATATTTTTAAAAAAATAAAACCCATAATTTAATAATGTTCTAGAAACTTATTTTTTATGGCCTAGAAATTTTGAAAAACTATAAAATAATATATCAATTGCGTTAACATTTAATTTTGCATTATTAATGGATGATTGAGCATCAATTATTGATCATTCAAACTCATCAACAACCAATGAGATTTTGCCATGTCAAATACATCACTAATTAAGTAATAGTTAAGTTTAATTCATTAATGGAGTAATTAGAATCACATGATTTGACTTAATCTCCACCTATAGTAATAGATAACAATATTATATTTACAAATTTAAAATAATTACTACGATACAGTATTAATCATTTATATTTGTAAATATAATTAGATAAGGAGTTGAAGTTGTTTTTTTTTTTTTTTTTTTTAATTTCACTACAAACTATTTAGATAAATATTTGTAATAGTCTAAGCCCACCGCTAGTAAATATTGTATGTTTTAGCCTGTTACGAATCACCATCAAACCATAGATATTGTCGTCAGTCTATCATTTTAAAACGCGTCAACTAGGGACAGGTTTCAACCAACTAGGGACAGGTTTCAACACGCTTATAAGGAATGATTTGTTTTTCTCTCAACCAACGTGGGATCTTACAAATCATCACAATGACAGTGGGCTTTCCCTCGGGATTTTAAAATTCGTCTACTAAGGAAAGGTCTCACTGGTGGGTATTCCAATTAATGTGGGGTCTCACTGGTGGGTATTCCAATTAATGTGGGATCTCACAATTCACCCAACATCCTCGTTGCCGCTGCCGGTGGGTATTCCAACTAATGTGAGATCTCACAATTCACCGAGCATTTCGTCGGCAGTGGGCTTTCCCTTCCTAAACTAGTCAAGCTTGGCTATCACCAATTATCGAGAAGCATAGCCACAATAAAAATATGGCCACATATGTTAAATTTTAATCAAAGTTTTAGTGTGCCATAAATATAAGAAATGTGACAATATCCTTAACCTAAAGAAAGTAAGATAAAGGTTTACTTACCCTTAAATAAATAAATAAATAAATAAATAAATGTCACACCATCATTTCATGGTACTACAAAGATTTTATATTTATCACTAAAAAAAATGCGGCTCAAATTGTTGTACGGAAAACGCCTAAAAATAATGGCTTTGTTTTGCATATTAAATAAATTAAAGTTGGGGACTATGACTTTATTCAATTAGTATGTAATATATAATTAGATCAACAATTTGTTTTTTTTTTATTTCAGGGTTATATTAAATATTTTATTAAACATAAACTTAGTAATTTAATTAATTATTTAAAAAAAAAAAAAGGAGAATTTATTACTCAAACGTTTATATTCTAAATAATAAAATGATTTTTAAGCAACCAAATTAAAAAAATTATGAAATAAATAACCTTAAACAATATGATAAAAATAATGCCACATTAGACGAAAAGTGGACATGACATTATAAGAAAAGTGCCCACTAAACCATATAATTAATTATTTATTTATTTAATCCCTAAAATACCCTCTCTATTTATTTATTTAATAAAGGTGGAAAAAGTAATGCCACGTGGAACTCAATTCACCCACGTGACAGTCGACACATGGACCGGCAGACTTCAACCATTTATTTAAAAATATATTTTTTAGATTAATCAAATTATTCCAAATATTTACGCTTAATTAATAAAAAATAAGAATTCATAATCTAATGCTCTATTTCTAGAGCGGAATGGATTAATAACTAAAATTTTGTAAAAATAAAATATCAAAATATTCATATAAGTAGCGAACTTATTATTAATATTCATAATAATGTTAAAAATAGGTGAATTCTAGTCCAATCAAATCCAATGTTTATAGTTTGAATTTTTAGTTCAGACATAGTCGAAGGGTTCTCAGTGAACACCTTGAACCTGTGAAAGTTTGAATCTTTTGAATCCAAACTTAATCACACAACTCGAGTCGGATGGGTTGGGTTGATCCTTGAACCTGTGAAAGTTTGAATCTTTTGAATCCAAACTTAATCACACAACCCGAGTCAGATGGGTTGGGTTGATCAGAATCTCCAAGTACCGAGTCTTTGATGCCACATGGAATTAATGGGTCTTGATGTGAATAAGGTTATTGTCTGGAGGCCAAGTCAGCAAAAGGCAGACCATTGGAAAACGGCAGAAGAGAGCGAAGAATCCAATCATTTAGATTCGAACTTTGTTGGCTTGGCCCAGCTCTTTTAGGCTTTGTCGGCTTTGGACACCCAACACTTGGGATTTAAAGTTTCTTTTTTTATTAGTTTTATCAAATGACGGTAATGAAGACATAAATATACTTACATCCTACGTCACATAAAGAGGAACTTCTCCCCGGTAGACACGTTTTAAAACCTTGAAGTTAACAATTGAAGTTAACGATGATACGTAATTACTAAAAGCGAACAATATTAGGTAGTGGTGAGCTTAGACTGTTACAAATAATATCATAGCTAGACAACGAACAGTGTGCTAGCGAGGACGCAGTACCTAAGGAGGTGGATTGTTAGATCCTATGTCGGTTGGAGAGGGGAACGAAACATTCCTAATAAGGGTGTGGAAACCTCTCTCTGGTAGACAATATTTTAAAACTGTAAGGCTGACAGCGATACGTAACGGACCAAAATGGACAATATCACTAATGGTGAGCTTAAGCGGTTACAAATCATGTTTTGAATAGTATGGAAAAAAAAGGCTTATAAACAAAAAGACCCAAAGAGAAATTTTGAAGAAAGGTCGAGTAAATTTGAAATGCAGAACCCAACAAAAAGCCCAAGAAGAACAAGGCTATCACAAGGCAACACATAGCCATGAGTGTTTGCAAGGTTGAGCCCTCAGCTCAAGCTCATTGGTTTGATCCCTCAAAGAGTCGGCCTAAGTACCGAACCCCTTGAAGGATCGATCAGTCAAAAGACTTAAATGGTCGACCTTGGCCGTTAGAGCAATCCCTTGAAGGGTTGTCCTAGATTACCAAGTTGAGTCCCTAGGTTCGACGAAGGCTTTAACCTTGAGCCCTCGGCTCAAGCCCATTGGTTTGATCCCTCAAAGAGTCGGCCGAAGTACCGAACCTCTTGAAGGATCAGTCAAAAGACCTAAATGGTCGACCTTGGCCGTTAGAGCAATCCCTTGAAGGGTTATCCTAGATTACCAAGTTGAGTCCCTAGGTTCGACGAAGGCTTTAACCTTGAGCCCTCGGCTCAAGCCCACTGGTTTGATCCCTTAAAGAGTCAGCCTAAGTACCGAACCCCTTGAAGGATCAGTCAAAAAACTTAAATGGTCGACCTTGGCCGTTAGAGAAATCCCTTGAAGGGTTGTCCTAGTTTACCAAGTCGAGTCCCTAGGTTCGACGGAGGCTTTAACTAATCCATCGAGAATCAATTGAGCAACTCTTGATCAACCATAAGCAAAAGTAACTTCAAAGAATAAGAGAAAATGGCTCCGAGCAGCTAAATCTAAAGAGCTAAAGAAAGCTGTTTGAGTGCTACGGCTACACCATTTAACCTATTCTTCCAACAAGAACAGATGAATAGCCTCAAACAATGTTATCTTTGTTCAAATCTACATTCGTGCAAAAATTGGTATTATTGAATTTAACCGGTTTGCAAGATTTTCTAATGGTTTATTCCGAATCAGCCATAGATCCTAAAATAAATTCAATTAGTATTCAGCTTGCAGCCACCCAAGGCATTTTCGATGAGAAAAATGAAGAAAAGTAGAAACTTTAGCCTAATGTGATCTATACTACAAATATAAATATGCTTCTATTGTTTCATATCATAAATCAAAAGGAAGAATAAGTGCTAACCTCCCAGTGCTTTCTGTGGTGCCAAAACGTTGCTCTCTTATAACTTGCTAGAACCACGAGAGAGCGCATGTTTGATAAGCTCCCTCCTAAGAATCTTCCCAGCAGGCGATTTTGGGATCGTGTTCACAAAAGACACCCTCCGGATTTTCTTGTACGGTGCAACCTGCAAGATGAAAATGGTCGAGTTCGAAGGTTAGAAGACTTGAGAAACAGCAGAGGAATGTTCATTTCAAGCTCCTTGAGAGATGGACCATGCCTGTTTTGCAATGAAATCTATGACTTGAGCTTCAGTGAGAGTGCTTCCAGGCTTTCTAACAATATAAGCCATAGGAATCTCTCCAGCTTCTTCATCAGGGTAGCTGCTCAACAGGAGTAAAAGTATTATCATTCAAGAAGCTTTACTTGCAATGATGTAACGGCCCACGCCCACCACTAGCAGATATTGTCATTTTTGGACTTTCCTTTTCGGGCTTCCCCTCAAGGTTTTTAAAATGCGTCTGCTAGGGAAAAGTTTCCAAACCCTTGCAAAGGTTTCTACACCCAAGGACGTCTGCTAGGGAAAGGTTTCTACACCCAAGGACGTCTGCTAGGGAAAGGTTTCTACACCCTTGGAAAGGGCGCCTGCTAGGGAAAGGTTTCTACACCCTTGGAAAGGGCGGCTGCTAGGGAAAGGTTTCTACACCCTTGGAAAGGGCGGCTGCTAGGGAAAGGTTTCTACACCCTTGGAAAGGACGTCTGCTAGGGAAAGGTTTCTACACCCTTGGAAAGGGCGTCTGCTAGGTAAAGGTTTCCACACCCTTGGAAAGGGCGTCTGCTAGGTAAAAGTTTCCACACCCTTGTAAAGGACGCTTTGTTCTCCTCCCCAACTGATGTGGGATCTCACAATCCACCCCCTTTCAGGGCCCAGCGTCCTCGCTGACACTCGTTCCTTTCTCCAATTATTGATAACTTTCAAATGATGCTTACGGTATGACAGCAGCATCGGCGATCTCGGGGTTGGATTGAAGTAAATGTTCGAGTTCAGCTGGTGGGACCTGGAATTTGTTCCAAACAAGAAGGATTTCTAATCACTATAGAGGGATTAAGGTAGTAAGCCTTGTAATTGAGATGGTTTGAGAGTAAAGAAGTCACCTGATAGGCCTTGTACTTGATCAATTCTTTTAATCTATCGACAATATAGAGATATCCATCAGAATCAAAATAGCAAAGGTCACCAGTTTTTAGCCATCCCTCCGGATGCAAAGTTTCAGCAGTTGCCTTTTCATCTCCAACATAACCTGCATCAAACATCATCGAGTCAAAATTGGGTTCTATGAGATCCCACATCTCATAAGGTATGGATAACTCTCCATAGTGGACGCGTCTTAAAACCTCGAGGAAAAGCTCGGAAGGGAAAGTCCAAAGAGGACAATATCTGCTAGCTGTGGGCTTGGACTGTTACAAGGGATGGATACCTCTCCCTAGTGGACGCGTCTTAAAACCTCAAGGAGAAGCTCGAAGGGAAAGCCCATAGAGGACAATATCTGCTAGCTGTGGGCTTGGATTGTTACAAGGGATGGATACCTATCCCTAGCCTCCTAAAACCTCGAGGAGAAGCTCGAAAGGGAAAGCTCAAAAGAGGACAATATCTGCTAGTTGTGGGCTTGGACTGTTACAAGGGATGGATACCTCTCCCTAGTGGACGTGTTTTAAAACCTCGAGGTGAAGTCCAGAAGGGAAAGCCAAAGAGGACAATATCTGCTAGTGGTGGGTTTGGACTGTTACAAGGGATGGATACCTCTCCCTAGTGGACGTGTTTTAAAACCTCGAGGTGAAGTCCGGAAGGGAAAGCCAAAGAGGACAATATCTGCTAATGGTGGGCTTGGACTGTTACAAGGGATGGATACTTCTCCCCAGTGGACGTGTTTTAAAACCTCGAGGTGAAGTCCGGAAGGGAAAGCCAAAGAGGACAATATCTGCTAATGGTGGGCTTGGCCTGTTACAAGGGATGGATACTTCTCCCCAGTGGACGTGTTTTAAAACCTCGAGGTGAAGTCCGGAAGGGAAAGCCAAGGAGGACAATATCTGCTAGGGGTGGGCTTGGGCTGTTATAAGGGATGAAAACCCCTCCTTGGTAGACATGTTTTAAAACTGGAAAAGCGAAAAGCGAAAAGAGGATAATATCTGCTAGCGGTGGGCTTGGACGGTTACAATGGATTCTACATGAAGTAGAAGAAAACACCAACAGAATATTGCTAACCTTTCATGATTCCTGGACCTCGCAGCCAAAGCTCTCCTTTGTGACCAGGAGGTAAGGCTTCTCCAGTTGCAGGATCCACTATTTTGGCTTCCAGACTTTCAGATAAGCGACCTACTGAACTTGTATTACTGCATTCTTCAGGCCCCAAAGTCCGCGCCGCCGCTGCTGAACTCTCTGTCAAGCCATATCCCTAGTCAACAGAACAAGATCAAGCATCACTGTGTTTTCTTCTTGGTATCATTTCAGAGGTTCCAATAGGTTAAAAGCCTTCTTCACTCATGGGTTACTCAGTATTTAATTGATATCTTGAAAATTGAAGAGCATTCAATAACATATAATGCTAGTTATCATAACATGTAAACGGGAGAGTTTAGATTCAAAATTCGCATAGAACGAAAAAGAATAAAGAACAGATTCGAAAAGGAAAATTTACAGGATGGAACGTTCATCGCATTTAATGGTAAGAGGAAGAACTTAACATTATACGAATTATTGAAATGGAAAGGGTTTCTTGCGAACCTGTATAATTTCTACGTTGGGGAATTTAACGTGGAATTTATCGACGACTTCTTTACCAAGAGGAGCGCCGCCGCATCCCAAAATTTGAAGAGAGCTGAGATCGTACTTCGCCACCAGCTCCGACTTGACCATCGCCACCACCAGCGGGGGAGAAACTGGGATGTATGTAACCCTATGCTTCTCCACGGCTCTTAACATTTCCTCGAAACCGAACTTTCGCATCAGAACCAGCGTATGGCCTTCTGAAATCGATCGAATCATCATATAGAATCCGAAAACATGGAACATAGGTAACAGGTACAGAGAAACGGGATGCGGCTCCGTTTCTCTTTCGTCGGCCGTCGCCTCTAATGTCATAAAACTAGAGATCGCCGCTATGAGGTTCCTGTGAGACAGTAAGACTCCTTTCACTCGCCCGGTAGTCCCTGACGAGTACAGAATTGCCGCCGAGTCGTTTTGATCGACTTTGACATCAACAGCATCATCATCCACTCCATTCGATAGATTGCTTTCATTCATCATAGATAGAAACTGCATTGAATCAATCAAGACAGTGGAAACTGGAACCCTCGAAAGCTTGGACGCCGTTGAGGAAGTAACGAAGGCAATGTCCGGTTTACAGAGTCGAACCTGGTAAGCAATCTCCGATTCAGAACCGATTGGATTAGCCGGAGAGACAACAACACCGAGAGATAACAGAGCAAAATACAACACAGGAACTCGGAGAGAAGTCGGCGAAAGAATAAAAGCAACCTGACCCTTGGAGAGGGAGAAAACAGTTCTAAGATTAAAGGCGAGGTTTCGGATTTGGCAGAGGAAAATACCGTAGGAGATACTGTCACCTGAGTCGAAATCAACAAGAGCGGTAGTGTTCACCGGAGGAGGGGATGATCGAAGAATAGAAAGTGCGTGTCCGACAACAGTGAGAGGCTGAGATATCGGCGGAAGCGAGAGTGGTGGCCGGAGGCTATGGAAAATCTTGGTTTGAGGACAGAAACCACTCCGAGGATCAACAGAATGTGCCGCCGCTTTGAGCTTCCGATCTCGATCCGCCATTACCGTACGTTGAGAGCTCGGAAGAGTGAAAATGCGTGGCTGAACGCAGGCCGAGCAAATTTATAGTGATAGCAAGGAGGGAAAGAACCATACGGCATCCAACAAAGGATTTTTTTTTTTTAATTATTTTTTGAAATTCCGTCCACGTGGATTATAGAAAGGATATCCCACTTCAATTTTAATAGATATTTAAAATAAAAAATACTTTTAATAAACCTTTAAATCGGTAAATATTACTTATTATTAAAAAAAAATAACATTGAAATTAATTAAATAATTTAAATTTAAAAAAATAATAAAATAAGTACAAAACCATATTTTAACCTTTTCTTCATTTATCCCAATTTCCAAGCCTTCTCTCACAGTTGTCAACAAATGTTTCTAGAAACTTCGCTTTTTTAAAATAAAAATACTTTTTAATTTGGATTTTTTTTAATTATTTTCATGATTTCCAATATATGAAACTTTTTATTTTTATCTTGAAAATTAGTTCGTATGATTCCATCACAGTCAAGTATGATACTAGCAAATATTGTCCGTTTTGATTCATTATGTGTAGTTGTTAGCACACAATTTAAAAATGTATTTACTAGGGAGGGATTTCCGTATCTTTCGTCCCCTCCTGTGATCTCATGCCACTAATCTAATCTGAACTACCATATAAATTATGGTGGGTTGGATAAGATTTTTTTTTTTTTTTTTTAATTTGGGTTGGGTTGAATTTTTTAAAAATAAAGAAAAATTGAGCCGGGTCAACCTAATAGGGTTACAATCCAACCTACCTGCCATATCCTAATTTAAAGATTATTATGAAGACTAATAATATCAAAAATTTTATAGCCAATGTTTGTGCTAGGTTATGACCTGTGAATGTTTGATGTATGAAATTTTAGTTACTACCGTAATATTTAGGTTGATAAGTACGATTTATTTTTTTAAAATAACCCAATACAACTTGAGATAGAGGGTCCAAAAGCTTTTTCCAATCTAACCCGTGTACACCCCTGAAAATATCTAGTGTGGTGAGTAGTAAAATAATTGATAAGATAAGGAATCACTACAAGGAGAGTAAGATTCAGATTACTTTGTTGATCGAATATCTCAAGTCAAGAACATTGTTTGAGATTCGAATCACTCCACAAGCAAGATCGATTATGTCTGGCTTGAATGATTTTTGTTGATCAAATATCTCAAACATTTGTTTGAAATTCGAATCACTCCACAAGCAAGATTGATGAGATTGAATGATTCTACATGCAACCTAAACTACATATAATTGCAAATAAACTCAGCCATTGACTAAAGAAAAGAAAGCACAAATGCTCATTTATATATATATATATATATATTCAAGTCTACTTACAAATACAACATACATGGCTTTATATAGCCTCAAAATGAATGTATTAAAGGCATTTCAAGAGTTGTAACATTCTGACTATAATTAATAATCTAATATAAATAAAAAATCTTAAAATACATTAATGAAATACAATAAGCTAAATTACTCTATGGTAATCCACCCAAAATTTATAACAGGAAACTTTATTATTCTTCTGTCCATAAATTGAAATATCTTTTGATAATTTCAACAATATTTTATTCACATCTTCGTTGAAGTATATTGTATGATTAATGTTTCTTGATTCATATAAATAATATTTTTAAAGGGCGTTACTTAATTGGTAAAAAAGTAAAATATTATTTTCTTACCCCGAGATCAAAATTTGCTAGGAGAAATAAAATGTTCGAGGGTAAATAGACCACACATGGAACCTTTATCTCACGACCGACTAATGAGACAAATTTGACAATTCAGCATATACTGAAATCTACCGAAAAAAAAGTGTATATACATAATCTCTATTTTTTCTTCTTATTTACAAAAAAGAAAAGAATGGTTAAATTAATAAAAATATCTTAAATTTTTTTATTTTGTTTAAATAAAATTTTTAAACAAATAAAAAAATAAAAAAAACATTATTTTCAAAATAAAAATATATACTTGAACTAAAATTTTGGGTTTGAAATTTCAATTTTTTTAATATAATTAAACTAATTTCACTCATTTTTCCACAAAATTTATTAAAAGAAAAATACAATAAATCATTAAGTAATTGGTAACTACAAGTTAATATTGAGAGGGTTAACAAAATTTAATTGAGTAAAATATGAATAAATTAATGTAAAATGTTTCTAAGTTAATTTAAAATAAAAAGATTTAAGAACTAATTCTTTAATAAAGTCATCTAATTTTGAAATTTAAACTTAAAACGCAAAAATATTTAAAAGTGAATAATTGTTTTTATTTATTTATTTATAATTTAGTAATGTAAATTATAAAATTTTAAAAGAAAAAAAAAATATATCCCCTTACACTTCAAATAAATCAGCCCACATATTTTAGAAAAAAGAAAAAATAATTGAAAAATATAAATAAAATAAAATTAAAAAAGAAAAGAGAAAAAAAGAGGGAAACCCTTTTATCTGTGTTCCGCGCCATTCTTCTTCTTCACGCCGTCTCCTACTCTGTTTCGCCGCCGCCTCTCTACCGTTCACTGCTGCCGCTGCCGTCGTCGTCGTCTTTCTTGCGTTCGTGCCCTGAAGTCTCCTGCCTCTTAGGGGTTTTGCTCTGATTTTCTACTTCCTTGTTGTTGCCGGTATTCTCCCAATCCCTATCTGTTTTTCTTGTCATTTGAAAAACGCAAATTAGAACTTGTATAATGAAAGAACGGAGGATTTTTTTTTTTTTTTTTTTTTTTTTTT